CAGTGTTGGACGAGGAGTATCGTAGAGTTCGTTAGAGTTCGCCATGACCTTAAATTATTGAAACTGGTATCGTCTCATGCTGCTTATGTAGAAGTTTCAGGAATATGGAATAGAATGGATTACCAAAGGACACTTTGCAGCTAATTCTAAAATATCCGGAAAGTCGGGAGATAGGTAAGTCCGGAAAAGATCCATTTCTGGCTCAACAATCCACCTAAACACCCACAGTAACTTAAACACAATTAGAACCAAAGAAAATGCTGGTACTAGCAAGCTATCGCCTCTTACCTTTTCCAAAGAAACTTTATAAGTCCATGCCCAATCAAACTCTTCGCTCTTTGTACGAAATTCATCTCGCCAACTGCATTCATAAATACAGCTGTAAAGAGAAAATTGCACATTATTTTCATTGAAATCTCTTTGCTTCTCTTGCTGCTTCAGATCTTTCATTTCAAAAAGGCAAACATTCTCTACAACTTTAATTAATAGGTTAGACCCTTTTAATTTAGTTGACAAAGAGTACCGAGGACCTAGTTTTTTTTTAGTCAGCAGGAATAAAAAAATTGGAAAACTGCTACAAAAATTCTTCTGAACTTACTTACGTGGCACATAACTTGGTATTGTGGGGATCCCTGTGATGTAAGCAACGTAATCCACCACTGTTGCACTGTAATGATCCATATTTTTTAACGCACGATAACAGGTGAAGCAGTACAAAGAAATAAATGTATTTGATATCTGAGCGATGAAGAATGCTACCTGTTGAGCCAAATCCAACTTGGTATTTGGGCGGCATGAATCAGTCCGATGGGACACACATCAAACATGTGAGCGAATGCCAAGTCAAACTTCTGCGACTTCAACCATCCAATGAGCTCTTTATGCTCAAGAGTGGCTAAATATGGCATATGACACAATCAAATTAAAATCTTATGGGATGAATTACCACGACAAGTGTCAATGATCAAGGAGATTTGTCTTGAAAATCTTTTCATCATACGTAAACCAGACAATTGCTGCAATTAAGATTTCCGATATGTCCTTCAATATGTTTCTCAATTTCAAACTCACACCAAAGACAGTTTCTTTCTGTTCTTCTTCCATCTCTTTTCGAGAGAGGCCAATCGTTGCATTCACAACATAGACTAAACAGAAAACCTGATTTTGAAGAATACAGCAAGTTATTTGTAGTAAACCTTTGACTTTTTTGCTGATTTTGATGTCGCTATTGTCTCGATCACTTTGAGGAGATATCAGTATAATGGTAACATCATGACCTGCTGCTGCCAACTCCTCCGCAATTCTTTCGTTGAACAGCAACTTTTATTATAGAAAGTTTAGTATTAGTAAAGCAAGAAGAAATAAGTTATTTTGTTTATTTTTTGAAGTTAAATCTTTATTTTATGTAGACTTTTGCTCAATATATTGTACATTTCAAGAAGAATTTGAACACATAGATGTTTTGGCGCTAGCGGAAATTTTACTAAAAATAACTC